GGCAACTTAGGCAAGAGTTAGGGCATATAAAAAAGAAGGAGAAGAAAAGGGAATATTGCTTTCAAGAATTAGAAAAAATGGCTATAAGAAATTGGGTGAAGATTACAGAAATTATTTGCAGTAAATATTTGGCCTTGATTTTAGAAAATTGAACAAGTGAGAAGTTTCTAGTTCTTGATCTAGTTTCGGTTAATTTTTTCCTTTTCAAGTTTGATTCCCAAGATACACTACATCCTTTCTTCTTCTATATATGATTGTTGGGCAAGATTCCAGATTGTTGCAATGAATTGATGTAGTCTGTCTAACGCCTTTTATTCTTGACAAAAGAGCTTTCTGCGAAGTAACAAATCTTGGAAGCAATGTTAGCATTCTCATTTTGTGCATGCATATATATTTCGAATGTGTTAATTTGATGGTACTTTTAAGTTATGTGCATGCTTGGATTCAGATAATATACTTATTTTGAGAATAAACCATACATGCTTTGTGATTTATTTTCTGCTAAGATTCCTCTTTGTTCAGAAGTATTGCGCCCTATCTTGGGCAAGCATCATTTATTTTAAGAATAAATTTTGCGCCCTATCTTGGGCATTCATTTTAAGAATAAAATTTGTGCTAGGTAAATTTCATTTGAAGAATAAACTTTGCGCCCTGTCTTGGGTTTTAAGAATAAATTTTGGCACATTTCAATTTCAAAACAAACCTCGCGCCCTGTCTTGGGTAAATTTCACTTACTTTCATAACAAAACTTGCGCGCCTATCTTGGGCAAGTATCATTTGTTTTAAGAATAAATTTTGCGCCCTGTCTTGGGCAAGTTTCATTTTAAGAATAAAATCTGTGCCCTGTCTTAGGCAAATTTCATTTGAAGAATAAATTTTGCGTCTGTCTTGGGTTAATTCCATTTTAAGAATAAATTGCGCCTGTCTTTGGAAATTTCAATTTCAGAACAAACCTTGAATCATTTGTTTTAAGAATAAATTTTGCGCCCTGTCTTGGGCAAGTTTCATTTTAAGAATAAAATCTGTGCCCTGTCTTAGGCAAATTTCATTTGAAGAATAAATTTTGCGTCTGTCTTGGGTTAATTCCATTTTAAGAATAAATTGCGCCTGTCTTTGGAAATTTCAATTTCAGAACAAACCTTGAGCCCTGTCTTGGGTAAATTTCACTTATTTTCAGAATAAACCTTGCGCCTTGTCTTAGCAAATTTCACTTGTTTTCAAAATACAATGTGTGCCCTGTCTTGGGCAAATTCCGTTTGTTTTAAAAATAAATTTTGCACCCTGTCTTGGGTAGATTTCATTCTTTAATATACTTTTCGCTCTATCTTGTGGCACTTTTCGCCTTGTTTTACAACACCTTTTGCCTTGTCTTATGGCACCCTGCAACTTTTCTTATGGTAAATTTCCTCTATTATGAGGATAAAGCGCCGAGTTTTATGGTAAGGATTTCCTTGTGAGGATAAAGTTCCAAACCTTTATGAATTCAGGAATTTTGATTTTGCTAGAAAGGCACAAGAATATGAATTTACCAGAAAACCATTTGAATGGTGAGTTTTGCCAGAATGGCACTTCAGTCATGAGTTTTTGCTATAATATATTTTGAATCGTGTTTTTGCCAGAAAGGCATTTAAATCGTGAATTGTGTTTTTTGCCGAAAAGATAGTTCAATCGTGTTTTTGCCAGATAGGTAGCTGAAATCGATGTTTTTGCCAGAAAGGCACTTGAAATCGTGTTTAGCTAGAAAGGCACGTGAAATCATGTTTTTGTTAGAAAGGCATTTTAATCGTGTTTTGCCACAAAAGCAGTTGAAATCGTGTTTTTACCACAAATGCACTTGAAATCATTTTTTTGCCAGAATGACACTTACAATTGCAGTCTTGCCAGAAAGGCACTTAGAATTTTATTTTTGCCAAAATGGCACTTGAATCGGGAACTTCGCCAAAAAGGCATTTTTAATCGTGTTTTTGCTAGAAAGGCACTTAAATATTGTTTTGTCAAAAAGACACACGATATTTTCTTTTTACTAGAAAGGTGACTCGAATTTTAAATTTTTGCTAGAATGGCACGTGATATTTCACCTTGCCAGAAAGACAATTCGAATTATGAAGTTTTTATTTGCCAAAAAGGCACGTTTTGCTAGAAAAGCATTTCACATCAAATTTGCCAGAAAGGTATCTGAAGTTTGAATTTTTTGCCAGAAAGACATGCACTTTTGAGCCAGAAAGGCTCTTGAATTTGAATTTGCCCAAAGTGGTATTTGAACTTTTTCTCGCATTTATTACTTTGACAACATTTATTCTACAAATACTGTCAAAGTGGGGACAAACTATTAATGCTCGATTTTCACCCTTATGCTCGATGATGGAACTCCTTCGATTCTCTAATTAATTTAATGTTGGTAATTTTTCGGCTGTTTGGTTTATAATTTTTCTCTATTTGGACTACATTTTAATTGAAGTTCGGATTGGGCTAAGGATATATTTAAAATCCATATAGATAATTAGTAAAAGCCAAATAATTATTAGTGATAGCCTAAAATGATAAAATCTAAAAATAATTAGTAATTACCCTAAAGTAGTTAGTAATTATTTGAGGATAAATTAAAAAAGGTTGTAAGATGAAGAGGATAAGGATTGATGAGAGAAGAGGAGTCCAAGGGGAGTGAAAAAGGGGCGAAGGAAAACCTAGCATGAAAAATAAAAAGGGATAAGAAAAAAAAAGAGAGGGGTGGGGGGGGGGGGGGGAAAGAGAGGGGTGTGGGGGGGGGGGGTTTAACGTGAAAGTAAGTAGAGGAAAAAAGGGAAAAAAAAAAAAGAAAAGGAGAGATTAACATGAAAAATAGAAAGGCGGGAAAAGAAAAAAAGAAACAGCAGCAATGAGAGAAAAACAGTAGCAACAGGAGGGACAGCAAGAACAAAAGAAAAAAATGCAGAAAACATGCTTGAAAAATAAGGAAGAAAGGAAGAAAGGAGACGAACTCCTTGATACGAAGAAGAGGATTGTATCTTGGACAACTTACCAACAAAAATTAATTCTAGAATCAAAAAAGCTAAAATCTTTTGAACTGAAAGCATTAAAAACTTCCAAAATCCATCATATTATGTTATTTCTATTTATGAATATTGATTATTCTATTGCTTGAGTTAAAAGTAGTGGCTGTTTATGATCTATACCTCACAAGTGTTTAGATTCTGAGTTCTCGAACTCATTTAATCTAAACCAGAGGTATTTAATTTTCCTAAATAGTTTTGATAGAGTTCCTTGATTTTTTTTTTTTTTTTTTTTTTTTTTTTTTTTTTTTTGGTATTTTGTGATTTAAATCTGATTTTTGTTGAGATGATTGCTTAAACATGAATTTGATGTTATAAAAAACGAACATGAGACGTTTCTAATTAATTAGGTATTAATATGGGTGAAAAATATGAGTTTTGTAGGCTAACTGAATGATTTTTGTTCTTAAAAACATTGAATATCACTTTTTTTACATCGGGTGTATACTGGTTTGAAAGAGGCTTACGCACCTGTTGTTAAGCTTTAGGTACGAGTAATGATTCTTTACGCACCAGTTGATCGTTTGTGTATCAGATATGGACCGGAGCGAAAAAGGCTTACGCACATGTTGTAAAGCCTTACGTATCAGTAATAAATTTTTACGCACCGGTTTCTTAGAGGCAGCTTTCCAATTAATGGTTTGTTTGTCTTCATTGTTTAATTTTTATTTTATTTTTTTGGTTTTATTTTTATTGTTTGTCTTAATTTTGATCTTCTAAATTTATTTTTTCTTATTTCTAATAATTTACATAATTTTACTTGATTTAAAATGATTTTTTTAGTTGGTTTATGATAATTTTAATTTAACTCATTAAAAATTTTCTGAAAAAAGAAAATTAGAATACTAGACAAAGATAACACGTTGAAATTTCTCTTCTCAATGGGTAATAGTATATACATGATCATTCTTACAATAGATGATTTTTTTTTTTTTTTTTAGATGATTTTTTTTTTTTTTTTTTTAATTTTTTTTTTTTTTTTTGGAAGAAGTTAAAAATTTCGTAAATATTTTTATGCTTGATAATTAAACATTTTCAATGGATGCACTGTAGAAAACCATTAGAGCATTAAATAAATTAATTTTCTTTTTTTCTTATTCCATGAGTATCCTCAAATTCTTTGGAGCATGAGACTAATTCTAATTTTATAATTTTATTTTAAAGTTTGTGATTATCACTTCCATTAGTGTCCTTTCATGAATAGGATATCTAAGTTTATAAAGGTTGCCTCAACTAAAGTGTGTCTTACCACTTGAATCGTAAATAATTAAACTAAAATTATTAACAACACAGTAGCAATTGCATTATAAAGATGCACCATTTATATTTTTATTTTACCCATAGAAAATTGTGTAGCACATATTTTACTTTTATCCTATATTCTAATATATTCTATCCATTGAAAGACCTTCTAGGTCTAGAGTATAATATAAAAGATCTAGAATTTCAGGCTCTTTTAAGTACCCTTTCAATATTAGAAATTCTTAGAAGATAAGAGATAGTCAGCGCTTTTTCTATTAGAAAACAAATTATATTCAAGTAATAAATTATCTCAATTATAGTTCTTATGAAAATTTTCAACCATTTTTTTGTTAAATTGAAATTTATAAATATTCTTTTTTTTTTTTTTGTTATGTGTGTAATATTTTATGTACCAAGGCTGATAAACACATCTGCAGATTACAAATATTTAATATTTTATGTACCAAGGCTGATAAACACATCTGCAGATTACAAATATTCATTTTTTTGGTGCACATTTTGGTGTTTCAACAATTAAAATGGGCAAAGTGTAGTTTAGATGATAAGTTTTGGCCCAAAAGTCCAATTCTTTTTTCCTTTCTTTTCAGACTAAAATAGTTGAAGATCATACGTAAGATCTAGATATTTGATCAAAGATTACTTTTAGATCACCATTACCGTCATAATTTTAGATATGCTCAGACTTACTTTTTCAATGACAAGTTGAATTGGATGTGTAATTTAGAGGCCAGTGTATATAGCAGATATGGAAGGAAAATTACACATTATATATATAGTTTGTACATTTGGACAAAACCTCTGGTTTCTATGTTTCTTTCTTCTACACAAAACCTTCAACGAGAAGTAGAATATGCATCTAGGTGGCTTTGGCAAACAGAAAATCAGCACACCAACAATTATCTGAGGAGCTCCAGTTCTTCATTTACCAGTTGAACTGCAAAGCAAGACGGAGGAAATATAAATGAGATTCATAATCTGTAAAAATTTTTCTAGTTTTAATGAACAAAAGATGACAAGTGTTTAAGAGATTCGCGGCATACATATACCAGCTTCTTCTTTTTCTTCTTTTTCTCAATATAAGCTACGAGTTCCTCCTGCCGAGAAAGTGAATCCTCTAGAGCCTGAACAAGCAAGAAATAGTGATATTAGAGCTGTGTTTAGAATTGTGATATTAGAGCTGTGTTTGAAACTCAGTCAGAGACATATTACAATGAAAATTACCTTCTTGGTTGCATTAAGCTCTCGTTCCAATGTATCAACCCGGTCCATAGCAGCCTGCAACATTTCGTCCTTCTCGGGAGAAATAGCTGGAGGTTTTGTGGTGAGAACATTCACTTTTTCTTCCAATTCAGACATGCGCTTGAGTACAGACATGAAATCTGCATAGGAGATGGCTGGTTCAAGTGCTACATTTGCTTTGCCTTTAACCTCTATATCCTCACAATATGGACTTGAATAGATCGTATTATTGTTTATCTTCTTGGGCATATTGCGAGTCACTTTAATCATGGTGACTATGCCCATAACAAAAGCCATTACACCAGTAAAAATGGGAGATCCCATCCCTTCAGGACCTTTCATACCATTTATATTGGTGTAACATTGTGCGGCTACAAGAACAGGACAAAAATTTGTCATTAGAAAGGAAAAGCTAAAATACAATATGTAAAATTTGCAACATACCTTTACTAATAGCAATTTTATCATCATCTCCTAATTTTTTCCAGGTCATATCCACAGTCTTCTCAATTATAGGGCCATAGTCCTCAAATTTAGAAGAAACCTGCATGGTTTACTTTCATGAAATAAAGATTTGAAGCACAAAAACATGTCATTAGAACTGGTGCTCCACACACTGCAGAGAGGGAACATTCATTCAAACATAATTCATCATTCTACTAAACGAATTTCAGTTGCTTGAAAGCTAAGATCATATTGTTTAGTGTCAGGATCACTTCCATTGCTTTCTTTACCTGGTAGCTGAATCAAAAATAAAACTTTCTGAACTTTATGATGGTTGATAAGATATGCAGGAACTCCACTAAACTTACTTGTGCAAGGAGCGGCGCGACTTGTGCATACTCTAATTCCTTTGGAACTTCTATAGGCCCCACCTTAAAAGATGTGTGTCTCTGGATACATTACAATATGAAGTAAGTTGGGAAGTAAAAAAAAAAAAGTAGAAAATTAAACAAATTAAAGCAAACAATTTAAAGAATTAAGACCTTTGAGGCCACTACTACTATTCCCTCATCCTCAGGTATTGTCTTCTCCTCAGCATGTGGAGTCTCACATTTGTTCGAACATTTATGATCTCCGTTTTGGACCATCTGCAAGGCAATGGAACAAGTAAGACTCATGATTTCTCCGAAAAACAAATGAGATAAAAGAATGAATATGATTGCATAATACCTTCAAAATCTCTTGGTCTTTCCAAGGGCCCTTATCAGAACGCATACAGCCTCCTTGATCAGCACAAGTGCAGGTACCTCCCAAAAACTCCGGTAACTCACTAGTAAAGGGCAAAAACAAAAATAAATAAAGAACTCTATTGTCGTGGAAAAAACAACCAACACGACAAAGATATTTGCATAATATTCTCATTAGAAACTTATACCTGGCATCAATGATCTCAAGTAACTTGCTCTGATACTTGTTGCCGAGAACCTGGAGAATAATTAATATCCTTACTAATTAGTTATTTGCCTAGACAAGTTCTACTCATGGAATATCATAATCTACACACTAACATGGATCTTTGCAGTGGTCTTAGGATCAAGGAAGGATTTTATAGTGTTCCACAGCATTCTGAATCCAGAACCGGCATTGATGATGAACATCCGATTTAAGGTCTGTAAAGAAACAGCAATTGACATGAATCATAACTATATATCATTATTGTAAAATAGCGACAGAACTTGTTAGTACCTCAGGATAATTGTCACCATCAATCTTCTGAAGGCGAGTGATAAGATCCCTTGCATTTTTGTTAAAATTCTTGAGGCCCTGTAGTTATTAAAGATTTACATATAGTTAATATATGTGGTAAAGAGCTTTTAGTGCCTGTTATTATCATTTTGCAGAGATGATCCTTCAAAAGTATATTAGAAAGATTGATGATAATTGATATCTTAATTACATTACTTATATGAGGATTATAGCTGTTACTTAATATACTGAAGTCTGATTTTATAGTCACAACATACCACTCCCTGCACATCCAAGATGGTTGTGCTCTGATCAATTTGCTTCTTTGCTGAAATTGAACAAGCAGGAAATTTAACGGCAAAAGTCCTCTCAAATTCCTGCACATGGTACTTGACATATCGATCCATGGTTGTGACTTGCATTAGCTTGGTAGGATCTACTAGGCCCAGTCTTTCAATGTATATAGGTCTTCCATCCTTGTCCACACCATGATGCCCCTGGGGATAGTATTGCATGACTTCATCGAGTTCATTGAACTCAAAATCCTTCAAGAAAAGCGAAAACGAAAACGAATTAGAACAAATTATGAAAATAAAAATCCATAAATCAAACAAATGATCAAAATTGAAAATCCATAAGTACCTCCATGATAGTGTCGGCACCAAATTCCTTCCTCCATTGGAGCATCTCAGTCCACATTTGCTTTGTTTTCTCAACATCATATTTCCTGGCTCTCAAGAATCTATAAAATGGTGAAAAATAATAAATTCATGGGTTTAATAAATCATAAGCATCACATTAGTTATAAATGAAGCATATGATCAAGAAAGTAGAGGAGGAAAGCCTTGAGGAAACAGTAAGGTTACTCCTTTATGACCAAATGGCCATGGCTTCAAGCCTTAGACTCTAAGGTAATAATGGTCTTCGCAAAAAGAATCAAGGGGAAGGCTTGCTTATGATAAATGACCCTTTCCGAGCTTTGCACGAGGGAGTAGGGACAACCTTTTATTAAGAAATGAGATACAGAAAAACCATTAATCAGAAGAAGATAAAGAAAAGGGAAGAAATTAACCTGAGCATCACGTGATAATCATCATGTCTTGGGGGTAGAAGTTCCTCTAAAAGTAGGACTTGGCGGAAAGCATCAACCGCCTTCATCTCCTCAACATCATGAATGTCCTCAATTTCAAGGGACATCACTTTACTACTTCTCCTACCCTTTCTTGTCAAAGAGTTTTTAAATTTGTTGGAGGCATTGATGGCTTTAATTTTCAAGGACTCAATCTTTGTCTTCTTGTCATCCGCAGCAGTTTCTGAATCAGGTACTGCAAGGGAGAAATAATCCAACAACAAAATTTGAAAACCCCCATGTAAAAGATCACACGTAAAAACACACACATATTTATATATTTACTAGAAGAAAGAAAGAAAGAAAACCTCAAACAAATTAATCAAGCAAAAAAATTCAAAAACTACAATATTAAAATCTCATATAGAGATACATAGCAAGTTGATCAAACAACAAAATTGAGAACTACCATTATCTAAAATCATCATGAAGACGCATACTAATGAAAGAAATAAAGAAATCATATGCAAATTAATCAGCCTCAATAAACTAAAGAAAAAATACAAAATTTGAAAGCTAACCATGCCTCAAAACAAATTCAATTTAAAAAAAGAAAAAGCAATAAAAACTGAGGCAAATTAATGGAAAAAACAAAATTTGAAAACTACCCAACATATAAATGAAAAGAAAGCAACAAAATTTAAAGCAAATTAATCAAAAAAACAAAAAGAAATCTGAAAAATACCCATAGAAAAAATCAAATACTGAACACATAAATTAAAAGAAAGAAAAAGAAAAACCTGCTTTGGGAGATGAAGATTCAGCTGAGACATCAGCCATCTGATTGGAGGTGTTAAAAATTGGCCGTAGGTTTTATTGTGACACAGAAAAAGTGCAGCAAAATTAAAAACAAGCACTCATATCAGGATGTCACATAGAGCCCTTAGCCCAATGCCTGCAAAAACATAGATATAATAACAAAGACTTTTTAAGGTAAATCAAAACAACAACAATGGAAGATTGAGAGAGAGAAAGTATACCTCCGTTGGGATAATGGTAAATGTCGGAGAGAATACAAATATAGTGAGAGAGAGAAAGACTATGAGGCGCCTAAGAAGCAAAAGCATTAGCAATTTTTGGACAATTATCCATTTTTATTTTATTATCATTATCATTATTATTATTAATATTATCAATAATATTGTTATTATTACCTTTGATCATCTTGACCAGGTCTCTACTGCTCATTTTAGCCATGGCTATTCTTGCTCTGAGAGAGGGAAGATTGACAGATGGAGAGATAGTGCGAAGCCAGTCCGTTCTGCCAGGCTTTTTTTGAATTCTTGACCATATAAATTCATGTCCTTGCCCATTGTCCCGGGAAAAAAGATGAAATAGGCTTATGCTTTGAACCGGACCCTTCTCTTGTATTAGGTTGTTTTGGTAACCCAACTCGGCCTTTGTTATTGTTCTTTGGAATTATATTTAAGTTAGGGTTAGCAAAAGAAAACATTCGAAATTACTTATTCACAATTTTCTTATCTAAACCAAAAATGTTTGATAATGATTTTCTAAAAAGAAAAATTATATTTTGCAGAAAAGTATTATAAAAAAATAATAACACGAACCATTTTGATCGGTTTATTTTTAAAAGTCATTCATTATTTGTAATTTGTATCTCTCAAACTTATGACTGAATTACCAATTTTTCTCTAATTCAATTAATTTATGTGAATATTCATATAAAATTTTTTGTGAGCCACACCATTGCTCTTTTCAAAAATCTGAAATCCATCCAAAAGTGATATGTGCGAGCAAACGGAAGTGAAATATTTTTTTGAGCATTCCATCAATTTCAATTTATTTAAAATGAGTTTGGATAAATTATGGTGAACATGGGTCTAAATTTATTATTTTTCATGAGTTTAAATTAGATATGAATTTAAGGTTTTAGGTATCCTTGGAATATTATTATAATGAATTTTTTATTTTTCATGTAGATGTTAAAGTGAATTTATTTTTTATTTTCTTATTTATTTGAAAATTTTGAAATTCTATCATCATGAATTTAAAAATTTATTTAAGTATTTTAAATGTTATTTAAATGTATTTTATATTAATGAATTTGAAACAAATAATAAGCAAGTAATACTAAGAAGCGTTTGGTTTAGCTGATTCATATAGCTGATAACTGATTTATATACTCAATAGCTTATAGATGTCATAATCAATTGATAATTCCATTAATTCCATTTTTTTAAAATTTTTTCGTATTAGCTGCTAGCTCATTTGTATTTGAAATTCATTAACATCATAAAAATAATTATTAGTAAAAGTTTTTTTTAAAATTAATATCTTTTATTTTTAGTTATCTGAAAATAATAATTTCTACTAAATATTATTTTAATACTATATAATACATGAAAACAAAAATAATATACATGAAAACAAAAATTAATATAATTCACCTTAATATAGTATTAATATATATATTATTATATAATATATATATATATATTATTTGAAAAAAGACTGAAGACTTGATTTTAAGTTCTTAATGGTCCATCTCCTCTAACAGTAAAAATTTCCGTGGTAAAACAGAGTAATGCCTTTTAAAGGCATAAAGTCCATTTAGTCCTATGTAAGATCGGTGGCTAGTAGTAATTAGATCTGGAAAAGAACTCGATAATTCAGAAATTTAAAAGAGTCATAAAATAGAAATGAATTTAATTTTTGCAAGATTGTTTAGTAAAAGCAAATTGATGATGGGAAATTCATAAAGTTGATAAAGAACAAATTTATAAAGTTTCTAAATTTAATCTATTTAAAACTGGGATTATGTCATAAAACCGAAGAAAGAGATTTTTCATTAGTAAACTTTTGAACGGTAACTCTTTTGTCTTCTAAAACTTTTTGCCATCATAAAAGTAAAAAAAATATAAATATATTATAATAGGATTAATTCAAGTAGGAATAAAACCTTTAAAGCCAGAGAAGGAATTAAATACTAGTTATTAACCTTGCAGTAGTAAGAAGGAATGCCTAGGATTTTTAAATTTTTCCAAGATTCTTTATTAAGTCAGTTGAAACTAGGTTAAAGTGAAAGGACCGATCTCTTTTGAGGTTAATCCAGATAGACTGTCTCATTAAAATGATTTAAATATATTAGAAAATAGTTATTTTTAGAAATTAAAACTCATAATTATAAATGAAGCAAAGGATCAATTCCTATAGGCTATTAATATATAAAATTCAATTATAAAGCCATGAATTCAGCTTTTTGGAAACTAAATATAAAGTTACAACCTAGAATGGTGAACACGAATTTTTTGCAAACAGAACTTAAACGAAAACTAACACAGTAAATTCCTAAAACCTTATTCAATGGAAAAGGATATTACTTTCCAGATGAATTGGATATTGGGAAGGGGTCGTACCTCCTCCTGCTTCCAGAAGCGCGGTAAAACCAAATGTCAATTTACCAAAAAAATTGAACAATTTGAAGATGGTTAAAAGTAACATTAAAAATTTTTAATCGTAGTCACAGTAGGAGGTTATACAGGGTCAATCAATCGTCTGTTACAACAGATGACAATGATAAACTAGTTCCCTATACCTTCTGTAATCTATGCTAAGTATAAAGAACCTGAAAAAATAAACGCCAATTATTCCAACCTTAAGTAAAACCGTTAGATATTCTACTATCGGATATTCCAAATAAAATGAAAGGAGTTGAATTAACGTCAATTCTATCCCACAGACAGTTAATATCACTGTAGTAATTATGTAAATCAACAAGTCAAACTTGGTTTAATTCTGCTGCCAGAATCAACCAAACAGCTTCCAGTTATAAACTGAAAATGTTAGTGATATAAACCCGAGAATTAAAATGTTATTAGTAAAAGAAGATATTGAAAAAAAGTTTAATAAAAGAAATATCAAAACAAAGAATTTACTAAAAATGAAACAGATTTAAAACTTATGCTTTTAGCAGAATTAAAATATGGAATTTTAAGATTATAGAATAAATAAACTCAAACTGAAATTAAAATTTTTGATTGGTATAGACCTCATTAAGGAGAAACAATTCTGATAAAAGTTTAAATCCAATCACTATTCGCGAAAAAGACCAAGAATGGATAGTAAATGAACAAACAATAAAAAGTGATTTTCAAAAAGAAGGTTTGGCAAGATTTGTCATGACTATAAAAAACTTCAAAGAACAGATAAAATATGAAAGCAGAAACAACTAAAAAAAAAAAGAATTAGGATCATTTTGTAAACAATTTGATTATAATTTAAAATCTCCACAGAAATGTGATGGACAATGCTTGCGAACACATAAATCTAAAAAACATTATAAAAATAAATATCATAAAAGACAATACAGGTCTATACCTAGTCAAGAGAAATTTTATTCTAACGAAAAATATAAACCCCATAGGAAGTCTAAAAGAAAACAAGCTAAAAATTCAAATAAAACCTCTTATAAAGATTTAACTTGTTATAATTGTGGTAAAAAGGGACATACTTTAAAATTTTGTAAATTTAATAAAAAGTTAATTAATAAAAAAGTTAAATTGAATTACATTTAGATGAAGAAGTGTTAAAAATAAAATCCACGAATTATAATCTTGATTGTTCCTGATTCTCAGAATCTGAGGTTTATAGGAAAAGTGGAAATCAAAATTGATGAAATTAAGGTAGCAACAACTAGTTTCACTGATAATTACCATAAATAATGGTTTAACTAAAGATCAAGTAACGCTTTTTAGAAGTAAGTAAATTCCTATAGATGACCGCTAAGAAACACTAAAAAGCTAAACTCCTTCAAAAACTCATTAAAGTTTGAACGAAACCCAGATAGTAAAAGAGGATATAACCTTCCTAAAATTCAACATAATACTTATGAATCTCAACACAACTATATTAAATAAAAATAAGCCATAAAAAAGTAGAAGCAGAAAATGTCCACTAGTAATTGGTTAAAAAATGAAAGTTAGAAATCTTAAAAGAAGGAAAGTTAGTTTGATTAAAAACGACATTTCAAACTTCGTGATAGACCTAATAAAGGGGTATTAGACTTATTTCTAGTTCTTCTTCTGATGAAGCAGAACCAGATAAAGATGAAATAAATCAATTAGATGAAGATGTAAATAGTAATTTTCTAAATTTATTACAAGAAATAACTTCAAGAAAATATTTGATAAAAATAAACATTCAGGTAAATGATTTTGCGATAGATGCAATTGCACTGTTTGATACAGGTGCAGATTTAAATTGTATAAAATCAGATTTAATGCCTAAAAGATATTGGTCAAAAACTAATGAAAAACTAAGTACTGCAAATAAATCTAAATTAGAAATTATAGGTAAAACAGATGCACAAATAGTAAATCAACGGTCGCAAAATGGCGTTTTTTTTTGTAGTGACAGTATTTTTGTTATCACCTCAAATAAATTATATGATTATATTAGGAACCCCTTTTATCAATCTAATAACACCATATTCAGTTAAAGAGGGATTGTATTAAATTTAAAATTAAGAAATAGGTACAGTTCTAAGTTAGAATTCGCTGAAAAACACCTTACTAAAAGAAAGCTCAATTTAAATCTTTAAAAGCTCATCTTCAATAAAATACTAGAGGATTAATTCTTTTAATTAATCTAGAGAAGAAGATTTAAAAGATGCACGAATAATATGTGTTTAAACAAAATTTTTAAACACATTAGAGACTAAAGAAACTACAAGATAAAATTACACAACATTAAAAGAATTTATGGGAAAAGGAACATATGTGCTGATTTCATCACCAGCTTTTTTGGGGATGCGTAAACACACATAGGTAGATTTTACCCATATGAAAAAGCGATGTTTTGATTGAAAAAAACTATTAAACTTAAAGCTTAGGACAATTCAGACGAATCCTGAATTGATTAGAGCATTGTTAAAAATTGAAATTCAGATTATCAATAAAAATTAATATCTAAATCTTAGAAGCCATTGGTCTTGTGCAGCTTTTTATGTCAATAAAATGTATTGTGTGAAATAATGAAACGTTGCGGCTTCTGTGTTCCTGAGCATTAGTAATAATTATTAAAACCCATTAAATACGCTTTTTTAAATTGGGATTTAGATATCCAATTCCTAATAATAAAAATCTTCTTAAGAACACATTTAATTATCAAAGCCAATAATATTTTTATTAAAATTGATATGAAATCTGGATTATTAATAATTCTGGATATTGGCAGATTCAATTGATCCTAAGCGATAGACATAACAAACTTGCGCATTTACTAGTTCCATATTGGTTCAATATGAATGGAATTGTAATGCCCTTTTGGATAAAAAATCTCCTTTTCTGGA